TTGTCCTAAAGTATGAACCCCCTTGGCGAAAATTCTGGCTCCGCCACTGGTCCAAGATTGTTAGAATAAATAAATATATATATATATAAATCAGTTTTTATTTTGTACCTAAGAATTATATGAAGGGATAGAGTTTAGAGTTTTAAATTTCAGTTATGTGCTTTTGCGGTCTATTTTTGCTGTTAGTTTTATTATTATTTTGTACCAATAATAAAATATAATTTTTAATATTGCTTTAATTAGTTGATATTTTATTATAATTTATTATTTATATGTATAGTTAATTATTATTTTTTTAAAAGTAAAATAAAAATAAGAAAATAACTCACCCCACTTCCCATACCCCACAAATCCCATATACTCACCCCTATGCTACCACATCCCCACGAAACTATCAACAACACAAACAGTCACCCCTATACCCACACACGAACAAAAAAAAAAAAGGATTGAGTTGTTGTTTTTGACGGCTTCAAGTTCACGGATTCAAAAGTCTGCTATATTAATATTTTTGGAAAATCAGTAGACTGTTAGGCGTTGTTTTTCGTGGTTTAATCTTCATAAGAGATAACATTTATTTCTTCTTGGTATAATTTAATGTCACGATTGTTCAAGATTTGATTCCAATGTTATAAAGTTATTCAAATTTTATGTGTGTTTAGCTTTGCCAATATACTATTGAAATACATGAAAATATTTGTATTGTTGTATTTGGATTAAATATGATATAACGTATATCGCTTCTTGCTCACTAAGGAATCAATATTTTTCTTAATTCGCTCTATTCTATCAAGCCGAAACGTGATTCATGGGTTGCTGATAATTAATTTGATCAATTCACATAGTTTTGAGTTATTCGTTGATAGTGCAATTTAAAAATTATTTTTTTTAGTAAAAAAAATGCATTTTTATACGATTTAATCGTTATCATCCGAAGTGTTTTAGATTATTGGTATTTTATAGGTCATAGATCTAATGCCAGTTTCAAATGTTGTGTGAATATAAATGTTTGGTTTTTTTTTATTAAAAAAAAGGCTCTTTTATGAGTCTATTAATTCAGGATACTAGCTTTTGGGGTGATCACTT